AACAAGCAACGAGCTTTACCACCTCCTCCCATTCATACTTTGGTACAAGTGATTTGGGCGACCTGCATTCACTTGGTGTTTTTTTGTGCAACCGCCAGCCACTTCACTGCCTTCTTATGTTGATGTCTCCCCCTCCCCACCATCGTTGTCTTCGACGTCGTCGTGTGGTCGTCATTGCATTTGAATGCAACAAATGCAGAGAAGTCTTCGAACTTATGTATCGATCGATTTGAGGCTGCTTGCTATCAATGACAAACACAGCCGACCAGCAACCAAATCACCCACCTGTGCCTCAAATGCCATTCCACCTTAAAAGCGACGAACTGGCTGGCTGACTGGCTGGCCTCTTTCCCAAAACGCCTTAACCTCTTGGGGTAGATTTATGCCCAGGAATTTAGTTCAGCGCTCTGTGAAGGTGGGCAAAACAACAACCTCCTCTACATTCTTCCTCCACTGAAGAGGAGCCCCATTCATTGTTCCGAGGAAAATCAGCTTTCAGATGAGGCAACTAGAAATGTTCCACATTTTTTTTCTTCAAAACTGAAACACCCACTCTCCTTCCATCCCGCGCGTGCACACACACACTCAGACACGCGTGTGTGGCTTTTGGTCAGGTGGGTCTCTTTTTCAAGTTTTGTTGTTCTTAAGCATGCGTTTTGTGTCATGTTCGGTTCAGAGCTTGTTTCGTTTTTTTTTTCACTTGGCTTCCATAGATTTTTTTCTGGCATGATTTACTTGCATCCTCTTTACATTTTTTTTTTGAATGGCTTTGATGACTACTCAGGTATCATGCCTAACACTCCAGGGTTTCCCATTTTCGGAATGATTTTAGAAAAAGAAAGACCTATTTAGCAACTAATGTTGCATGGCATGCGTTAGCCGCTAAAAAGACCGTTTTATGACCCTTTCATTCATAAGCGGGTGTATGCTGCCATTTTAATGAATGGATTTCCCCCGCACTAAGAGAAAAAGAGGTAGAAAGACAGAGATTTCTAGGCATTAACGCTGATTGTATGGCTAATAGTCGGCACTCATAGACAACTAGAATCACCCGACATCAAACAATAATTCCAAATGACATGAGTACTAATGGCTGGCAACACACATTAAGCCACGTGAGCTGCTTAAATGACAAAGAAAACAAAGGTTCCTCAATAGATGCCAGTGCGGAGTCTTAGCTACTTTAGAGAATAACATAATAAAGAACAGAAAAAAATAGAGATTAAATCTGACCCAATTGTTAGTTGTGGGTGGTCAAAACGTAAATATCGATTGGTGGAAGAAAGTTTCCATCATAGATACTTCAAATGAGAGAAAGAGAGGAAGAAATATAAAGAGAGAGAGAGAGGAAGTAGAAGATTAATGTTTGCCAACATTTTGGCGCCCAATCGTTTTTGATTTGAAAAGAAAAAGGATAATGGCGCCCAATCCATTTCAAGTAATATGAAAAATCTGAAAAATATATGCTTCACAAGAGACAATTAGAGGATTAAATAGAGAGAGAATTGTAGGATTATAACGTTTTTGTTTGTCAAATTTGGAGACTAGCGAAAAAAAGAAATGGCGCCCAATCAAATTCAGGTAATAAAGAGAGAGAGAGAGTAAGGACGTAGGAGACTAACATTAACTTTGTCAACAATCGGTGCCTAATACTTTTGGATATGAAAAAATTAAATGGCGCGCAATCAAATTTGTCCAATTTTGCAGAAGTACTGAATTCTTTATTATGCACTATCGCAAGGAGAGAGAATCGTAGAGATTAACATTTTTTTAAATTTGACACCTAATATTTTTATAAATGAAAAATAAAAATGGCGCCCAAACAAATTTCTATATATATATATATTTTTTTTTTTTTTGGCAATCTTTATGAATTATCAGAGAGAGAGAGAGAGAGAATAGTAGGACATAAACGAGAAATATAGGAAATGGAGCCCAATCAAATTTAGGTAATTTTCTAGAAGTACTACATCCTTTGCCCTCTACTCTCCATCAGATTGAGCAAGAAGGTGCAAAGGAGCGTGAGAATAGTTTAACAAAAATAATGTTTATTATAATTTCGGCAAAATTTGCTTCTGAAATGAAAAATAGAAAATGGCGCCCAATGAAATGCAGCCTTTACTAAGATATTTATGTTTTTTTTCAAAACCCTGAAAGAAGAGCAATGGCGTCTAATCAAATGTTAATTATTTTATGGAAGTGCTACAGAATATTTCTATCAAAAACCCGTGATAGCAACTATTAAACGGTGTAGCACTCTAATATGATTGTTATTACTGTTTTTCGATTTTTAAAGTATAACTTCTACTTAAGTCCAAAAGTATTATATCCCCAAATTGTGGGAAGAAAAATAATTCACTGAGAAAGTATGCGGATGGTCAATCAGTATCAAACTTCTTTCCATGCTAAAACCGAAATGCTAAAATTCCACTTATTTGATCGGATATTATGGACAAAACGTTTTTTAAATCGAAAATTAGAAGATACTGTACCTGTATGTGGGATATACAAAAACGCCGTTCTCAGCAGTTGGGCATGGCTCGGTCCACTTTACAACGGATTATTCGCATTGATTTGCATTTGTTTCCGTACAATATTCAATTGACGCAAAGAATGTTGCCTGTGGACAAGCCTCGTCGATTGGAATCGGCCCAAAGGGCCCAAATGTCCGTCGAATATGGGCAACCCTGTATATAGAAAATGTTCGAAAATGTACCAACTCTAATTACCAAATTTAAAACAAATCCGATAAAAATGTAGCTAAAATGACTAAATTACCAAATATCAGGATGTATCGTTTTTATATGGGGGCTACATGAGAACGTGAATCATTATATACACTACTTAGCCGCTGAAGTTAGAACCTGTTTCAACCTTTAAATACCAAATTTGGGACAATTCCGTCAAATAAAGTGGCTATCATTATCAAAATAACGAAAATCGGGAGGTACAGTTACATAGGGGCTATCCCAAAACATTGTACCGGAGTTATGACCCATTATGACCAACAAATACCAATTTTTAGACAAATTCGTGGGAAAATGTTGAAGATCTACGTCAAATAATGTGGGCTGTATCGTGATTTCAACAGACAGACAGATGGACATCGTTAAATCGACTTAGAATTTTATGCTGATCATATATATATATACATTATGGGGTCTACGACGAATATTTAGGAATATTACAAACTGAATGACAATTTAATATGGGACCTGAGTAATCAAAAGATTAAAAAAATTTTTTGCACATTTTATGTGGAAATTATATAGGATGTTGGGCGCCATTAAATATTTTTTTTTATTTGTGGCTAAGTCCCTGAACCCTGGATTCAGGTTTTGGACCCTGGAATCCTCCAAAGATTTCAAGAAGATTTCCTATGTTTAGAAGACCTTGAGAAGATTTTCTCAAGATGATATTTTATAAATACCCATCGAATTTGAAGAATATATCATATATACAGGAGACCTGGAGAATGTCTTCTATCTGCAGAAGATGTGAAAAAGTTCGTTACCTTAAAAAAAATTGTAAAGAAAATCTTCTATCCTCAAAAGGTCTGAAGAAGGTTTCTATATTTTTAGGTTAGATTTCTATGGGAGACTATGAGAAAGTGTTATATCTTTGGAATGCCCAGAAAAGTTATTCTAGTTCTAGAATACCTTGAAAAGGCTATTTGTCTATAGAAACCCTGAAAAAGCTCTTATAACAATAGACGATCTGAAATAGGCATTCGAAATAAAGGAAGCCTAGAGAATGTCTTGTTTCTAATGGATCCCTGGAGTAGGATTTCTAAGCATAAAATATAATCTTATATGTAGAAGACCTGAAGAAGATTATGATTGAAAATGGTTGTTACCTATATTGAAGGTGTTTAATTCAAAAATAAACCTAGATAAGGTCATTTTTTTCTATAGAAGTCCTGAGAAAGTTTTTCAGATCCCAGAAAAAAACCTGGAAAAGGTGTTTTTTTTTTCTAAAGAAGACCTGAGAGAGGTTCAATAGAAGACTTACCAAGAAAGCTTTTCCGGTCTACCTACCTATAGAATATGTGAAGAGTTTTTTATCTATAGAATATCCGAAATGCTATTTATAGAATATCTATAACTATATGTATGATAGATGCAGGATGACCTCTATCTATAGAATACCTGAAGGAAATCGCTGACCTATGAACGACCTCAGGAAGGACTTCTACCCACGGAATCATATATCTGATGTTTTTTTTTTTATTTTAGAAGACATTGTGACGAGATTCTATGTCCAGCGACTGCCGAAAACAATATTTAGAGATCCTTTGCCGGTGGAAGACTTTTAGGGGGTCTTTCTGTCAAAAGAAGAAAAGTAATCTTGCTGGAGAAATTATTTTATCTTTAGAGGTTTTCGTATATAGGATATAGTAAATGCATTTCGTGCATAGAAGCCAGTACATGACACTCCAATAAAATAGACATCTTCCAACGAAATATGAAGGCCTGCATATATATAGGGAAGACAGTTGAAGATCGTCTAATATAGATTTCTACAAAATGTTTAAAATAGTTATGAAAAAATTTATCTCGATAAGGTCTGAATAGCCTGGGTAGGTTTAACGTCTTTAGAAGTTTATCTGGAGAAGGCCCCTTAGTTGACGATCCTTTATAAATAGATAATCGGTTTTGACAAAACCAAAAAAATGTTCATTGTTGGGTGGAGTTAGAGAATAATACTTAGATTTTTAACCTATTGAAGATCCTATGTCAATAAAACCCATAAAAAGTGCTGCTAAAAAGTCTCCTGACAAGAAAATTCTGCAGGTCTCGATTCAATATAATTTAAATATACAATTTAGCCCCTAAATCTTGACTTGATTTAGCACCTGATCCGACTCAAATATTTTATTTAGTTTGGAAATCTTCACTGTAACTAACTTAAAATGAAATCATGCTTTTGTTGTTGTGCTTGAATTTAAAACAAAAACACAAAAAAAACTTCTAAATAACAACTTATAATTTAAACTATAGAAATATAAAAGGAAAAAAACTGCGATACTAAGGTCAAAATCCGGAAAAATGCTAAGGACAATTTAAACCCTACAAACAATCCAAAATACAACCCACAACCTAAGACAAAAAACCCTTCCCCACAATAGTAAAAACACCATCAAAATGAATCGCCTCCGATCCCATAAGTTCAAATTGAACAGTGCCCCAGATGTGCCTGAGGCGAACAACAACAACAACAGCAGCAGCAGTAATAGCAACAATGGCAGTGGTCTACTCAACAACAGCCTCATCAATAAAATCAGCAAACGCTACTCCACCCTTAGCAGTAAAATTACACGTCGCAGCCAGACTGGAAGACGGGCGGTGTCACCACAAAAAGTAATTTCCGGTAGCTATGATATGACCGGTTCTCTATCCGAGGATCATCGTTTGGAAATCGGTGCTCCAGTTCTGATATCATCCACAACACTGGATGCGGAACGTTTCGATGTTAGCGAGGAACGTTTGAAAATGATTGGTGGTGGTATTGCGGCCACGAATTGCAGTAAAATCAAGACCATTGACTTGCCCATCAACAGCAACCTTAAGGCCCTGCAGGAATTGGAACAAAACAAGGCCATTCACTCGTCGTCGGGTAGTGAAAATGAGATTTTCGTGGATGCCCTTAGCAGTACACCGGTGGTGGTGGTAACTGCCGATGGAGGAGAGCAACAGGAAAAGGATGTTTTCGAAATGGCCTTTGACACGCCTCAGAAAATTGTGAAAAGAGAAGAATTGGAATGCGCCTCCCCCAGCTCTGAAAAATCCTCCGACAGTGACATGACACCCGTCAATCAAATGTCCAATTACTACGAAACGACAAGGACCACAAATCATCAGCGACCGAAATCAATATTGGCTCAGAAGGGCCATTCCCAGTCGGCACAGAATTTACATCGTTCCGAAATCAAGGTTTATCTGCAAAAAGCGCCCTCCATGAATCTCATGGAGGAAGAGGATCAAATAATGACCACCAATACGGAGGAGGAGGAGGACATTGAAAATATGGCCTTGCCAAAATTACCAGAACTGTATGGCCAAAGTAAATGTGATTTGGCAGCCACAACAGACAACGAATTGAATGCCGATGAGGATGATGAAATGACCGGCAAAGAAGAGGAGGACAACGATGCAGACAAGGAGAATTCCTCCCCCTCTGTGGTTGCTGCAGGGGTTTTGAAGAGCAAAAGTGAACCAAATACCCCCTTCTTTTTGGAACCGAAACGCAGCAGTTTCTTGAGCCAGAAAAAGCTTTTCCAAAGTGCCGAAAACATCCACCAAAGACGCACCAAACGACGTAGTGTGGTCTTCAGCAGTAGTACATCCATCAACCATCGAAATGGGGCCGCAATTGGCCTGGGCTCCAAAAACAGCCTGTGTAGCCAAGCTTCGCTGAATTTTGATGATTACGATTTGAAATCGGTTAGCTGTCAAAGTTTGAATCCCCAATCACTGTTCGTCTCCATAGATGAGCTCAACGAGATCACTCGTCAAATCAATGAATCGGAGGATTTCAATCAGGACATTGATTTGGAGTATTGCATGCATCGCGATCAGCTAAAACCGAGTGAAAGACGCATAACTCTGCTGAAGAATAAAAATGCCCGCCTCATAAATTTCACCCATAACAAGCAGAAGCTGAAGAAGGGATGGACGGGCGTCAAGCATTGGATCGGTGAGGAGGGCCATAAAATAAGGGAGGTGGTACAGCGGCAACCATTGGTGCAAAGAATCGGTTCGTCGAAGTTGAATCTAAGCAATGCTGAATGCCGAAATTCTCCCTCGTTGAATGGTAGCACGGTTCTGCGGCAGGCTGCCAGTCGAGGGGCGTCGCAGGATAAAAGTCTCGATGAAAGTGGTCGGGAGTCGAAAATGACCTCATCCATGCATTTATATGACAGCCAGTGCCTGAGTAGTGACAACATTGCTGCTGATAGCAGCAATGAGCTGAATGATTCGCGTGAGGCGGAACAATCGTCGCCGGGCACAAAGAAGCCGGGACAAGAGGTAAGATGGCGAGAAGAGGAATTAAGGTATTCTATCATATGCAAGGTGTTTTAGCTACAGAGGACCTGTAGAATGTCTTCTATCCATAGAGGATCCGTTAAAGGATTTTTATCCACAGAAGACCTGTAGGATTCCTGAAGACCTAAAGGAGGTCTTCTATTCATAGAAGACTTGAAGGAGGTCTTCTATCCATAGAAGACCTGAAGGAGGTCTTCTATGCATAGAAGACCTGAAGGAGGTCTTCTGTTCATAGAAGACCAGAAGAAGGTCTTCTATCCACAGAAGATCTGAAGGAGGTCTTGTATCCATAGAAGACCTGAAGAAGGTCTTCTATCCATAGAAGACCTGGAGGAGGTCTTCTATAAATAGAAGACCTGGAGGAGGTCTTCTATCCATAGAAGACCTGAAGGAGGTCTTCTATCCATAGAAGACCTGAAGGAGGTCTTCTATCCATAGAAGACCTGGAGGAGGTCTTCTATCCATAGAAGACCTGGAGGAGGTCTTCTATCCATAGAAGACCTGGAGGAGGTCTTCTATCCATAGAAGACCTGGAGGAGGTCTTCTATCCATAGAAGACCTGGAGGAGGTCTTCTATCCATAGAAGACCTGGAGGAGGTCTTCTATCCATAGAAGACCTGGAGGAGGTCTTCTATCCATAGAAGACCTGGAGGAGGTCGTCTATCCATAGAAGACCTGGAGGAGGTCGTCTATCCATAGAAGACCTGGAGGAGGTCGTCTATCCATAGAAGACCTGGAGGAGGTCGTCTATCCATAGAAGACCTGGAGGAGGTCTTCTATCCATAGAAGACCTGGAGGAGGTCTTCTATATCCAGAAGGGTTCTCCATCCCCAGAAGACCTTTAGAAGGTCCTCCATTCATAGGAGAACTGTGGAAGGACCTCTATCCATAGAAGACTTGTAGAAGGTCTTCAATCCATGGAAGACTTGGTCTTCCATCCCCAAAATGCCTACAGTGGGTTTTTTATCCTCAGAAGATCTGAAGGCCTTCTACCCTTAGAAGACCTTTAAAAGGCCCTCTATTCATAGAGAATCCATTGAAATATCAGTCCAAATTTTGTTTATCTCTTTTTTAAAAAATACCTTTTGAGGTTAAGAAAATGTGGCCAGATTTTTAATTATTCTCAAGTTTCAAAGACTCCCAAATTTTACCAAAATTCTAACCTACCGAAATTTCCTATTTCTCTTTCCAGGGCCAAAATGGCTTCGAAGAATTGCGTCGATATGTCAAACAAGGTGGAGATTTTGGCAAAGAACTTATTGTTATACTTCAAGAAAGGTAAGTCTTAAACCAGTTTCCGCATTTCACAGCTTATATAACTCCACTCTCTTTTGCAGAATCGATTCTGAACTTATGTACTCGAAATCTCTCTCGAAAATGGCCAATAAATTGAACAAGGCATGTCGTGAATTACCCGGTACCATTGCTGATGCCTGGCGTGGTGTGGCTACTGAAATGGAAACACGCAGTGATATACATCGCCAGCTATCAGCTTCTCTGGCCGAGGAGGTTGTTAAGCCACTAAAATCAATTGTAGAGGGGCATCATAAGACCAGGAAATCGGTAAGCCAATAAACCATAATCCCACTATTCGGTACCTCTAATTCTCTTTTTATTTAAAGGTCGAAAGTAATGTGGACAAGGCTGCACGCGTCCTGGCGGAATGGCGTGCCAGTGAGGCCAAGGGCAAAAAAGCCTCGCACACAGCTGCTCGGGAAAATGAAAAACTCCAAGATGCCATGTTGGATGTAAGAATACAAAAATCCCCCTCCATTGCCCTGCTCCATCAAAGCGCGAACAAACAAGCCGCCGAGAAGGAAATCAAATTGGCCGAAAAAGATTGTGCCAAATTGGATAATAAACGGAAGAAGGCCGAAGAAGCTGTCAAGAAGGCTGATGTGGAATACTACACCCTGTGCATTCGTGCCGAAAGGGCCCGAGTCGATTGGGAAATGGCAGTGCTGAGGGGATCTTCTCTTTTGCAGAATATTGAAAATCAACGTCTCATCAATATGAAAAATTTCGTCTCGAACTATGCCGCCCTGACGGCCAACATGAATCCGATTATGGAAAGTCTTATGCAACGTCTACAGCCGCAGGTTGATAATTGTAATGTGGTCAAGGATATGCAAATCATTAAAAATATTCGCCGTAATGCTGAGGGTCCAAGTGAACAGTTGCTGCCAGATTTCTACTGCGAACACACCACACTGGCCATGAATCGCGAGAGGCGCAAACATGCCCTGGTGAAACTTTTGCAGCTGGTCAAAACGGATTTGGAAAGGGAAAGACGTTCGCGTAATGGCCTAAAGGGTCTGTCACAGTCGTTAAATAGCCAGGAACATCAAAATATTACCGACAAGTTGTATCATGTGAGTTGGGGGAGGTTTGGGGGAAGGGTATTTTGAAAAATGTTTGATTCAAATTAATTTTCTTTGCAGATTCGTTCAATGCTTACTTATTTGGAGGGTGCTCGTTTCAAGCTTCACTCAGCTTTGTTGGAATTGGATCATAAGCCTAGATCATCACATCCTTTGGCCCAGCATATACAGGTGAATATTATGGAGAGTGTGGTCGCAATCAGGAATAGGCTTCGTAATGCATTAGAGAGTAGCAGGTCCTGTTAGGATTTTTACTATACTCCGATAATTGATTTTATGTCCCCAACGAGTTTTATCCAGACTTCTACTCAAATTAAAATCAGAAAAGATGATATCCCTCAAGGATAGGGATGCAGTCATAAATGGAAATGTTCCAATTCGGAAAGCCCAATGGTCAAACGAAACAAAGCCCATTTATGGAATCTCGCTTTCTGTTTCTATGGACAAAAAAACTTCGTTAGACAGTACGATTTATAAGGAAAGTCCAAGACGGAGTCACTTATATAGACCTTCAAAGTCCATAACGGCCAAGATGATTTAAGTCAAAAAGTATTTTATGATCATATTAGAGGTATTTCCTTTCCCTAGCAATACAGACCATACAGGGTGAGATAAAAAAACTGCAACAAAGTCAAACGCCATAACTTTTACATTTTTATACCCTACACCACAAGGTGGTCAGGGTATTATGTCTTTGTGCATTTGTTTGTAACAGGCAAAAGGAATCGAGAAAGACCCATAGTTCCTTTTGATGATCTGCATAGAATTACATTCTGAGTCGATTTATGCATGTCCGTCCATCCATGTATTTTTGTAAACAAAGTACAGTTCGCATTTATTGCCCCATCCAGATGAAATTTTGCACAAATCATTTGTTTGGCCCAAGGACGAACCCTATTGAAATTGGAGATAATCGGTCAAAATTTAGATATAGCTCACATATATATCTTCGTCCGATTTGCCTTTTACTGTGCACCAAACGTGTAATATCAGCCCGAATAGTATGGAATTTTGCACATACAACGAAATTAGGCCTGAAAATAAGTATGCCAAGTTTGATCCAGATCGGTTCAGATATAGCTATAGCTCCCATATATATTATTCATCCGATTTGTTATTTTTGTCCTCCGCAGCCGTAATATGTACTATGTAACAACAATATTTGGGGAAATATATTAAATACAGCTCAGAAATATATTTGCTAAATTTTATCGAGATCGGTTCAGATTTGGATATAGCTCCCATATATAAAACTTTAAATATTTTCACAAATGGGATGAAATTTGGCACTTACGGCCGAATTGAGTCTAGAAACTAGTATGTCAAATTTGGTGAAGATCGGTTCAGATATTGCTATAGCTCCCATATATACGATTCATCCGATTTTTCATATTTGTTACCCACAGCCATAATATGCACTTCGTAACAACGATACTCAGGGAAATATATCAAATACAGCTCAGAAATATCTTTGCCAAATTTTATCGAGATCGGTTCCGATTTGGATGTAGCTCCCATATATATTTTTATCCGATTTCAAATCAATTGTGCACAAAATGGGCAATACAAGTCCGAATTTAAAAAATACAAATGCTTCGGCATATTTAGTCCTTTGAATTTTAAATTATAATTATAATCATAGCGTGTATGATTGAATTCTCCCATAAAAACTTTTAATTGTTATGCGGAGCTCTACTAAATTAGCAAAGTGGTGTAGGGTATTATAAAGTCGGCCCCGCCCGACTTTAAGACTTTCTTTTCTGTTTTTTTTTTTTTTAATTTTATTGAATGAAAGCAAAAATGTCGGAAATAGCATCAAATTTTAGAATTAGTTTAGATTTGTTCGAATTGGTCACCTTTGGCACAAATTATGACCTTCAAACGGCCAATGAAACCGTCACACGCTACCCGAATGTTTCCCTTCGGTATTTAGGCCCATTCCCTGCGAAGTGATTGCTTGAGATGATCGAAACTTTCGTATTTTTTAGTGCCAACTTTGCTATCCAAAATACTCCAGACACAATAGTCTAACGGATTGGTATCAGGAAATGAGGCGAGGAATCTCATTTTGTAACTAACTTGGGTGGCGCTTGCTGAGTCCTGTTGGAATGTCCAAGGTCTGCTACCAAATGAGAAGACTTTAATACAACCTCCAGAATATTTTCGCGATAATATTCAGTATTTATTCTGATGCCACGGTCGAGAGAGTCCATCGGCTGTTATGGCGGCCCACATCATCACCATGGCCGGCACTTGAGTTCTGGTGTCTGGTGGCCAACCGAAGGTGGACATTTTCAGCTGACCTCTTTGGCAAGTAAACACGATCATTTTGTTTGTTTACAAACTGCTAGACATCGAATGTTTTCTCATCGGAGAAAACCAAATTCGGCAGCTCACCACTTTCGGCCGAGTGAAGCAACTCTTTAGCATTTTTGATTCTATTTTCTTTCCGTTGCGGTGTAAGTTCTTGCACTTTTTGGATTTTCAATGGCTTTACCACGAGCTCATTTTCCAATATTTGCCGAATGGAATATTGCGATATGTTCAGCTCACGAGCCATTTTAAGTCGCTTCTTTAATTTTCGAACCATTTCTGCTGATGTTGCTGTCATTGTCTACTGTTATTATTTTTGTTGTTTTATTATTTATATTTTCTGTTGCACAGTGTAATAACAATGTCAAAGGTTTTTATTGACCATGGCTAATATGAAGAAAATCAAATTGTTGTCAAAATTTGTCTTTTTGGTCGATAGGCCTTGTTGTTTTTTGCAATTTCATTAAAACACATCCCAATCTCTCCTCTTTTCTCCCTTTCAGATAACCCGGGATCGTACTGGCCTGCAACAAAGCATACTCAAAGTACCCTTATGGCTAAAGAACAACGACAAGATCAGCAATCCCCAGTATGGTGATGATCCGAACAACGATTACGACAGTATGTCACAGAGTAACACCACAACATCGACAACAAACATTAGCTGTGTGGATGGCAATGGGTCGACCGAAGGCAGTTTTCCAATGAAAAATTTCAATCGCAGTAAAAGTAATATTGAAACATTTTCGAATAAGGCCAAAGTTTGTGTTGCAACAAATGCGGCGGCGGTGGGAGCGGTAAATGGAAAAACTAAAACCTTGTCTGGAACAACGGCAAATATCTATGATGATGCCTGCAGTGATGATCGTGGCCAGGCCGATGGTGGTTCCAATCAACAAGATTCCGATTTTGATGAGTTCAGTTCACAGGACGAAGATGAAGAGGGTCAGCTGACGTCGTCGACAACAACAGTGGGAGTGGGTGGACGTAAAGAACATAAGGCGAATATTGAGAAGTCCTTGCAGAATGCCGAGAATTATTATCAAAATTCAATGGAAATTAAACAGGAACAACAACAGCAGCAGCAGTATCACATAAGTGACAATAACACCACAACGACAGCAACAGTACCAGCATTAAATGAATCTTCAACACCCCATCATCATGTAGTTTTAGGTAGATGTAAGGCCCTCTATAATTATACACCAAAATTGTACGATGAACTTGAATTGATTCCTGGCGATATCATTGAAGTTCATGCCAAACAGGAGGATGGCTGGTGGTTGGGTGCCCTGCGCAATCAAGTGGGCATATTCCCGGCAACGTATGTGGAAGAGATTGCCTGAGGAGAAGGCACAGAAAAATTAGCAATTATTTGAGGTTCAAATTATGTGTGTGTGTGTTTTGAAGGCTATGTTGGAAAAAGAGCATTCGAAAGATGACATTTTCCATCTCACCCAAAACTCCATCATCAAAACGACTGCCAATTGTTATTGTATTGTAGTGTCGTCGTTGTATGTACTTACTCCCCCAAAGGTTTTGTTTTGGAAAAGTAGAAACATTTTGTAATTCGTTTTAAATGAATTATTGGCATTTTAACGATTGTTTTAAATTAATTGTTAAAATTTAAATATTGTTATTTATTCAGAGTGAAGTAGTTGTAGAATGTATATTCTTTGTAATTTAGGGTCCCATGTAATCTAAAAGTATAATGTCTTGAATTTGGATTTGAAAACACTTTCATAAACTGAGTTATACCCTTGGAAATATTATGTGAAATCAATTGAAAAAAAATTAATTTAGGGTCCTCTTTAATCTATAAAAATTCTGTTCAAAAATTGTATTTTGCATGAGCTATAAACTAAAATTTTTAATGAGAAAAAAAATTGTAAAAAATTTAGTAATTCATTTGCGGGTTCCTTTAAATCGCTTGCATTTATTTTATCCAATTATAATCGTTTAATCTTTAGGAATGAGCCACAAAAAATTCCGAGACTTTTCAATGAAAATATTATTTAAATCAGCCTAAAAGTATGCTTTAGTATTTCAGTTTCTTAAGTCAGTCACTGATAATCATAATGGTATAGAAAGTTTTGCTTAAATCAAATCCTCAGTAAATCAAGCTCAAAAGAGTCCTCTTTTCCCACTTTCATTACCTTAAATCCTTAACAAATTTGACCGTTTCATCCTGATTATAAGTATTCTAAATTCGCCTTGAGAAGTCAAAATCAACAGAGTCTACATTTCCAAAATTCACCGCATTCATTAGCATAAATCCTCAGCAAATCTCACCCTTTCATCCTGAGAATAATTATTCTGAATTCGCTTTCATAGCCGAGAGAGAGAAGACCTCGTTAAGCATGACAACAAGGCCTTCTCTCCCCCGCCAATTTTTCCAACCCCGTTTTCTTGGTTGTGGTTTCGCTGGATTTTCTTAATCGAGTTTGGATGATTGGTTACTAACAACTTAGACCATGCATAAAAGAACCCTTAGTTTTTGGAAATTTTGTTACTTTCATATTTCGAAAAAATTGTCCAAAAACCTGAAATTGATCTTTGTTGGGAGCTGCGCTCCTATATGAGTTTTAAATTTTTTTCCCAGCGACTTCAATTAAATATTATTTTTTTTTATTTCTATTAATTCATAGTACTGATCCTTTAAATAATATCTTGGATTTCCATTCGGTCTAGTATATTTCCACGATATAATCAGGGTTTCTAAAAACTCCACCTAAAATCAGGTCCTTATCCCTATTTTTTGAGCAGAAAAATGAGATGATTTATAAATCTATCCTTATCACCAATCGTCAATTCTAAGGATATTGTCTAGTATCATTCCTTCCTTAAAAAAGGATTCCTTAAATACTCAATTCGTTATGCTTTTAATGAGCCGAGCAAAGGAGTGAGTTAGATACCAAGAATAATTGATATAATAGATTTTGAAAGTTTCTAAAAGGGCTATTTTTGATTGATATTTTTAAATAAATTTATCATACCCTCTTTGTTCGTATTCATATTTTTTTGAATAAAATATGTAACTCTTTTCCAAAATTAATTTAAGAATTGGAGTTTAGTCTTACAAACATTAGACCTTTTTCCCTTTCCGTAGACGACCAAAAAGGCGCTAGTTTTTCGACTTGAAGACTAGTGATCTGATTGATTGTTGAGGGACCTATTAGAGGTTTAACAATGTTGCTTTCAAAAATCACCTATCATACCCTCATCACTCTCATATGTTTTTGAATGACAAATAATACAAAAATTGGAATTAAGTTCGTTTCAAAAATTAGACCTTCTTCAGTTTCCTTAGACGACCTAAAAGGCGGCAGTTTTGCGACTTGAAAACATTGGGACCTGATTTATTGTTGAGAGACCTATTAGAGGCTTAATAATTTTTTTCTTCTAAAAATCAGTTTTCATAATCCATTTGATTGATTTCATATCTTTCTGAATGAAATGTCTAACTCTGTTCCAAAATAGTTCAAAAATTGGAATTAATTTTTTTTTCTTAATTAGACCTCCTTCACTTTCCTTAAAAGATTTCACATTTTTACAAATATTCCTAGAAAACTGAACGTTTTAATATTTTAAAATTATAATTATCCATCCAAATTAAAATATTTTACAAAAAACTAATAGCTCAGGTCTAAAATGACTTAAGGGAAGATAGTTGGGATACAAATCCTTCAAACATTGGAACTTATTTTCTTGACACACAGAATTAGATTGTTTTGAAAGCCATGGGTATTAATTTTGCTTTAATTAACATTTTATAAATCCCTGCAGCAATCATGAAAAAAACCTCCAAATCTTATATTAAAGTTATAATTTTTTAAATATTTAAGCTTAAGTTTTTTTCAATCCAAATAATTAATTAATTGATTTTTATGAATAACTCAGCTACTTGAAGTTATAATGATTCCTTTTTTTTCTCTAAGGTCTCTTTGGGACCCTAAAATGTACTTGAAGTTATAAAGATTCCATTATCTTCCAGTAAGGCCTGCTAAGGACCCTAAAATCTACCACCCTCAAAATATTTACTCTACCTTTACTACAATCCAAGTTATAAACCATTAAATTGCCAACAATTCATTTAAAACGATAGAAAATTATATTCGAAACAAAAAAAAAACTCTGTCGGGGGAGGAAAATTAGTGAAAACTTGTAGTGCCTTTTGTTGTTTTCCTTAGGAAAATCATGTATCTCATAAAGGAACACATCACATTGAAAGGAAATTGTTATATAAAAGGAGCTTTTTTCACTTGCAGTGTCAGAGAGGAGGATCTACAACAGGTCCTTCTCGTTTTCGTCTTGCTCTACGAAAGCGCTGGCAAGTGGAATAATGGCCGTAAAAAGAACAAAAATAAAAGAAAAATGATTTTTCTCATTTTCATAGGTTTTAATAGACGAATAAAATTCGCATAATTATTGTGTATTTTTTAAGAACTATAAATAAGCCACCCCACCCCTTCTACCCACTCTTCTAAACCAAAAACACGAAAAACAAAACAAAATGAATATTTTTACTTTTAATGCATTCATATTCTATTATTATTTTTGTTGTTACTGTTATTATTATTATTTAATTTAATTATATTAAGTCATCTCAACACTGTCTTTTAATTTTTAAACTATTTAAACCCCAAAAAACTAGTTCGGCTATAAGTTGTTCATTACATGATGTAGTTTTAGCAAGTTTTTTCTTTAAGTTTTTAAAAATTTCGTTTAAATTTATTATTTTTGTAAAAAAAAACAATTGAGTTATCATTGTATGATGTTCGTTCGAAACTATTTCTTAATAAAAAGATTCGAAATCTAATGTAAATCTTAGCATATTAAACCTACTTTTTCCCAAAGCTTCCATTTTCAAAGTTTAATTTCTGCCTGTATAGAGTAGACATCCAATGACTGGAGGTCCAAATTGAAAATAAGTAATGAAGATTTTGTACACCAGATTAATGTTGTCTTCATTTGGACATGTCCCCCACATGCAGCTCTACAACAACAATAACAAAAAAAAAAAACAAATGCAATATTTACTTATTTAGCTAGTAATCATATGATTTTCGATTTAATGCCTTTTTTAGAGTTAAGCCAAACGATTAAGAAGAATATCACATAGTTATTTAAGAGTCGAACCCCTCCACACATGGAATATGGTTTCAGTAGAATACAAAGAAACAAATTGTAAATATTTCAAATAAATTTTGAGTAAATATAAATATGTTGTGTTTTTTTTTCTAGCGATGTTTTTATACCCTCGACAACGAGGCTAGTTATACCTTCATCCATATGGCTAGGTATACCCTCAGTCATATGGCTAGAGAGGGTATATTTCATTTGATACGGCCAAAACGTGCCTCATCGAAATAACGGTCTTAGAAACTAGGTCTCATTGAACCAAATCCGTTTCAGGACATTTGGAGTCGATCTAGCGATGTCCGTCCGTCTGGCTGGCTGGTGCGCACGATAACTCTCGAAGGGAGTATCCGATTTGATCCAAACATGGTACATCGTAATATATTATCAAACATCGATCGAGTCCGGAGATGGGCAATATTAGTCCACTCCATAAAAAGTCGGAATTTTCAAAAAAAATATTTTACTGCACAGAAAGAGAAAGGATAATCCGATTTTTGATCCAACTTTGCAAATCCTAATATTTGCATCAGTGCTAGGCCAGGTGTGAAAATGGATAATATCGGTCCACTCCTTCTGGTACGTCCCCCACGAAGGGTCAAAATTTTTAAAAAATATATATTTTCTGCACAGAAAGAGAAAGGATAATCCGATTTTGCTCCAACTTTGCAAATCCTAATATTTGCGTTAGTGCTAAGTCAGGTATGAAAATGGACAATATCGGTCCACTCCATCAAGTACCTCCCCCACAAAGGGTCAACATTTTCAATAATTACAACTCTTATAAAATGTGATGTAAGAGTCCGATTGTCTTCAAATTTCACACATCCCAATAATTTTATAAGCCCAAGGTCTGGTGTTAAGATGCGATATATCGGTCCATTCCTTCTGGTACCTCCCCCACAAAGGTCATACTACTGAAAATTCGTTGGCTCGAAAAAACACGAAATTAACATCCGATTCCATTTAGACTTGGCACATCTGAATATTTCTATCAACACAAGATCTGTTATAAAGACGGTAGATATCGGACCATTCCTTCTGGTAACTCCCCTACAAAGGGTCAAAGTTTTGAATAACCAAAACGTTTATAAAATCCGAAATAAGCATTAGGTTCTCTTTATATTTCACTTAGAAACATTTTTGCTAACACAAGATCTGTTGTGAAGATTGGGATATATCGGTCCTCTCCTTCTGTTATCTCCCCCACAAAGGCTCAAAATTTTGAATACCCATGAAGTTTATAAAAAGCGAAATCAATATCCGATTCCATCCCAGACTTGGTACATCTCAGTATTTCCATCAACACAAGATCTGTTATAAAGATGGTATAAATCGGACAATTTATTTTGCCACTTGCCCCACAAAACGCTCAAAGCAGGCGAAATTTGCATCCAACTCTCTTCAAATATCACACGTACCAACATTTTTGCTAACACAAAATCTGTTGTGAAGATGCTATTATCTGCGAACCCCTTCTGATACCTCACCCACAAAGGGTCACAATCTGTCATGAATTGCGAAACAACTCAGCGATTCTTCCCACTTTGCTATATCTCAAAATATGTCTCTCAACCAGAAACCTCAGATGAATATGGAATATATGATTTTCCATAAATTGGATATAAATGTTCGATTTTCTTATAATAGATGAAGTCTAAAATGGAATTCTTGGGTCGACTAACTCTGGTAAATCTGGCATATGTTAACATGTTCTAAATATTATCATATATCCCATGTAAAGTAAAGGAAGTTACCAATATAGTCCAAACCTGGCACGTCGCAATATTTATATCATGTTTATTTAGGTCCGATACGAAATGGACAATATTGGCCCATTCTTTCAAAACCCACTCCATAGAGGGTCAAGAGTTTGAATAATCATAACAGAAGTCAACAAATTTTTAAAAAAACCGAACATTGGCTGAGGTTATACATCTGTCCGGCAAAACCGACCGATACTTTTTTACTTGTTTTTTATCTTATTTTTTTTTTTTTTTTGTAATGAGAATGTTCACATTTTGTTAAATAAACACTATTGGTAGGTTTCACTGTAGTGTGTTTCTTATATGAACTAATTTTGCTGTGGAGAATATGATATGGTGTTTTGAAAAAGGTTTCTTACATCCGTTTTTTATTTTTGTTAATATATGCATAATTGTAGTCTACTGTAATAACTTCTATACCCATTTTAATATACTACGAATATGGAATTATTGTGATTGAAGTAGTTACAATAACAAATGTTTATTGTAGCCACAAACTATTGCCGTTACATCTATTCAGTGACAGATGGCGCTCCACAAGAAACCAAAAGTGCTTGATACTCATTCGTATAATTTTTACAATTGTATATTTATTGCCGGCAACAATAATATATTACTTAAAATTGAGTAAATTATTTTAACAAATAAATCAAGCATACCCTGGCCATATAATAAAGAGCAAATAGCTTTGCCGACAGATTTATTTCCCCAGCCTTGAGTTATTATTTTTCAAACTGTTCACCCTTTATGGGGGATGTTCCGAGGCAGTTGGCCAATAATTCGTATCTGCCCTAAAACTGATATAAACAGTATATAAAGGTTTGAACTATATCGACTACTTCCTATACTTTATATTTTCCATTTCATACTTCATCTAATACAGATAAACATATTGGTATGTGCAAAATTTGAGGTAAATCGAACCTTTATATACAGTTTTATGCGATATCATAAATTCCGATAAATTACATATTAATATCAGATTTCTGTTTAAGAGAAATATTTAAATATAGCTAGTTTCATAGAATCGCCGACTTGTTTTGCAAGTTATGACATATATAAATATTGGAAATTGTGACCCTTTGTGGGTGAGGTACCAGAAGAGTTGGCAGATATATATTATCTTTACAATAGATCTTGCGTTAGCAAAAATATTGTGCAATTTGAAGAGAACCGGATGCTTATTTCGGATATTTTGTTATTCAAAACTTTGACCCTTTGTGGGGGAGGTACCAGAAGGAATGGTTCGATATCTATCTTTATAAAAGATCTTGTGTTGGTAGAAATATTGAAATGTGGCAAGTCTGAATCGAATATTATATTGATATTAAAATTTTGATCCTTTGTGTGGGAGGTACCAGAAGGAGTATACCGATATATCTTCACACCAGATCTTTTGTTAACAAAACTATTGGGATGTGTGAAACTTTCGGACAATCGGACTCTTATCTCACATTTTATAAGATTTATAATTATTCGAAATGTTGACCCTTTGTGGGGGAGGTACTTGATGGAGTGGACCGATGTTGTCCTTTTTAGCGCCTGACTTAACACTAATACAAATATTAGGATTTGTAAAATTTGAACAAAAACGAATGGTGCTTTCTCATTCTTTGAGGTGAATTTTCTTCGAAATGTTTTACCTTTTGTGGTGGAGGTACCAGAAGGAGTGGGCGGATGTTCCCTATTTCCGAGCCTCATGTAAGTTTCACAATTATTTTACGGTGTACCTAGTTTAGACCAAAGTGTATATTGTGCACCAACCAGCCAGGCCTCTAAATCGACTCTAAATGTTCTTAAACGAATTTGGTCTAAAGAAACCTAGGGGCTAAAATCTTTATTTCAACAATGCACTTTTTGGCCATATCAATATATATATATACCCTCTGGCTGAGGGTATAATGACCATTCACGAAGTCGTTTTCGATCCCTACAGACAAGAAGAGCCCCTCATGTCAAATTTAAGAATTTAAGAAAATTTTTTTTTGGAGAAATTGTAAAAAACTGTTTTTTTTTAATTTCAAAATCCTATATATATATATATATATATATATATATATATATATATATATATATATATATATAGAAATATATATATAAATATATATATATATATATATATATATATATATATATATATATATATATATATATATATATATATATATATATATATATATATATATATATATATTTATATATATATATATAGTCTGATGGTTCTTGAAGAAATTGTCTTAAAAATCCATGTTCAATGGTTCGCAAATCTTTGTAGAAATATTAAAACTTAACGTTTATTTCCCTGAAACTACTTGGATAAACTTTCAAAAAAAAAAAAAAAAAAAACAAGTTAAAAAGCAGTAAGTTCAGTAGTAAGTAACTTTGATTAACCTCCACTATTTGGAATGAATTTGAAATTTTCAAAAAATAAAATCCTTAAAAAATTCTGTTAAAATTTAAAAAATACCGAATATAGCCGTTATATTGGGGTCCATACGATATACATATATATATATATATATATATATATATATATATATATATATATATATATATATATATAATATAATGCCTACATAGGCATTGTTTGTCAAAAGCCATTACCATATTCAAATTCGAACCTTGAAATAAACGGTGAGTAATGTAGCTAAAATCATTAAAAGGTACCGTTATATCGGAGCTGTGCGAAAAACAAAACAAATTTAAATTTATTCTTGAAAAATTACGTTTATTAGTCCAAAAGTTCTTAAGGACATTTTCTTAAACAATTTACTTTAAATGGCCAGCAATTCTTTTTAAAAATCCACGTTTATTTGTTTGATATTCCCTAAGGAAATTTTCTTAAAAATTCATGTTTCCTTATCTCAAAGTCCCTGTTCTTAAAGAATCCTAGTTTACTGGTCTCATAATCCTTGAAGATTTTTTAATCTACTTTCATTGATCTTATAGTCCTTCTTGAAGTTTTCTTAAATACTCCACATCTATTGTTCTGATAGCCCTTGAATGAGTTTTTCAAAAAATCCAAAGGACCAATAACCTTTTGAAAATTTTCTTAAAAATCCTTGCCTGACAGTCCTTGGAAAAATGTCCTTTAAAAAATTACGTTTTTTGGTTTTATAATCCTGGGGGAAATATTCTTATAAAATTGCAGTTTTATTGGTCTAAGAGTACTTAAGGAAATTTTCAAAAAAAAAATCTCGTTAATTGGCCTGAGAGTCCATAAACATTTTTTTGAAGTCCACGTTTATTGGTCTAAAAAAGTCCTTGATAAAATGGTCCAAGAAAATTTAATTAATTGGCCTGAGAGTTCATGAGCATTTTTTAAGATCGCCTTTACTGATCTGAACGATTTTCTTAAAAGATTCAAGGTTACAGTTCCTTTGAAAATTTTTTTTGGGAAATCTACGTATGTTGATATGAAAGTCCTTGGAGAAGTTTTCTTACAAAATCCAGGTTTGTAAGTCATATAGTCCTTTCTCTTAAAATCCACGTTTATTGATCTCAAAGTTAAGCTTTTTAAATAAGTTTTTTTTTTTAATTTTTCGCACATTCATTGATCGTTGACATCCTGTCGTAGTTAGTTAATTTTTTATATTTATACCCTACACCACAAAGTGGTCAGGGTATTATGACTTTGTGCATTTGTTTGTAACAGGTAAAAGGAAACGAGATAGACCCATAGTTCCTTTTGATGGTTTGCATAGAATCACATTCTGAGTCGATTTATTCATGTCCGTCCGTCCGTCTGTCCATGTATTTTTGTAAACAAAGTACAGTTCGCATTTATTCCCCTATCCAGATGAAATTTGTCCAGATCATTTGTTTGGCCCAAGGACGAACCCTTTTGAAATTGGAGATAATCGGTAAAAATGTAGATATAGCTCTCATATATATCTTCACACCAAACGTGTAATATCAGTCCGAATAGTATGGAATTTTGCAAGTACGATCAGATTGGACCTGAAAATAAGTATGCCAAATTTGATCGAAATCGGTTCAGATATAGCTACAGCTCCAATATATGTTGTTCATCCGATTTGTTATTTTTGTCCTCCGCAGCCGTAATATGCACTCTCTAACAACAATATTTGGGGAAATATATCAAACGCAGGTCAGAAATACCTTTGCTAAATTTTATCTAGATCGGTTCAGATTTGGATATGGCTCCCATATATAACTTCGTCCGATTTACCTTTTATTGTGCACCAAACGTCTAATAATTGTCCAAATGTGATGAATTTTGGCACTTACGACCGAATTGAGTCTAGAAGCTAGTATGCCAAATTTGGTGAAGATTGGTTCAGATATAGCTATAGCTCCCATATATATTGTTAATCCGATTTGTTATATTTGTTACCCACAGCCGTAATATGCACTCCGTAACAACGATATTCAGGGAAATATATCAAACACAGCTCAGACATATCTTTGCCAAATTTTATCGAGATCGGTTACGATTTGGATATAGCTTCCATATATATCAAATGGGCAATACAAGGCCGAATTTAAAAGATACAAATGCTTCGGCATATTTAGTCTTTTGAACTTTAAATTAAAATTATAGTCATGGGGTATATGATTGAATTCTCCCATAAAAACTTTTCATTGTTATGTGGAGCTCTACTAATTTAGCGAAGTGGTGTAGGGTATTATAAAGTCAGCCCCGCCCGACTTTAAGACTTTCTTTACTGGTTTAGTTGAAATTTCCATACTCATATGGGGTATTTTCCTCGTGTTATAAATGGAGTAATAAAATTGACAGGTTATCCAATTGCAGAGGATATCTAAATCAAAGGAGTTTTTTCCGATGTTCTTTTGAAAATATAAATAAACACTTTCAATATTTAATTTTGTGTGAATATTTATTTAGATTTTTCTTTAAAACTTTACAGAAATGCAACTTAAATATTATTCTGAAGGTGATTACATCTGAAAACAATTATTTCGATGTGTAATATGTTTTTTTTTTATTTTGATATGCCCAATGATTCGATCATGGCAAGTTCTTCAGGATACGACTGACCTTCCCTTCCCTTGGCAAATATTTGGAGTATTTTGGGTTTTGTATTGAATAAATATCAAATGAAATAAATATAAATAATATTTTTGTTTAAGGAATATTGTGTTCAAGGTGGTGAATAGAGGAAAAGATGATGCATTACATAGGAAGTAATTAAGTAAGTAATTTTGTTGGTATGTAGGTGTATAAACTTAACAATGACATTTAATATATAAAGTGATTATATAATTAATCTTTAGATCCTAAATTAAGAATATTTAGCTACTACGTTTTAAACCTCATTGGATTTCTCCAGATTCCGTAACTTCTGATACATACTAATGTAGTGGCTTTGCAGTTGTTTCTGATACTGCAGCACCTTTTCCTTTTCCTGGGACCATTGGCGTTTCTCCAATTCGAAATTCACTCTCACCACATCCAATTGTTTTCGTAATTTGGCAATTTCTTCGGCATAACTGGCCGATTCCTCAATCAGGGTATCGAGAGTGGCCTCCTCTAGCGGGCAATTGGCCAGTTTCGATGAGAGTTTGGTATTCAGAGTTATGTCGGGTAAATTCTGCGAACCATAGACAAAATTTTGTATATCCGATGTCATCTTGGCTAAACGCAGTTCACAGCTTAATTTGTTCAGCTCACGTTCATGATTATCCTCCAGCTGCTCGCTTTCATCCAGCTGGGGAGGGGTGATTTTCAAACAATTAATGATAACCTCTAAATTCGATTCATCGATGACTTTTTCCGCACACGGATGATCCTGTTTCTCTTCGTTCTTGTGATTCTCAATACGTTGTTGGGTATGTTTGCGCGTTTTATTGCAAATATCTGTTAGATTGTCGAGCTGTTGCTTTAGTCGGGTATATTTACCCGATGGCTCTTCACCGTATTCATGGAATATCGCCAAATCGGAGAGTTCTTTACGCAACTTGGCCAATTCATTGGTCAGCGCCAGTATGACTTGATCCTTGAGGATAATGATTTTATTCAGTTGCTTCAACTCCGTTTGAGTCTCTTTTTGGGATTGGGCATTTTGCTGCTCCTCCTGCAACTGTTGTTGGGTAATTTTTTGATTCTCTTGTAGACTTTGGTAAATTTGTGTTTCGGCATTGGTATTTTCATGTTTCAGATGGACTATAGCGTGTTCTTTAAGGGTTAATTCGTTCTGTAGGGGGAGAGAGGAGAGAGAGTGATTAATGGGAGAGCTATGAGAGCGAATTTTGTTTGTACTTACAGTTGCCTCTTTGAGCTGGGTTTTGAGTAAAGCTATTTCTCCGTTTTTCTCACACACCTTCCATTCGCTCTCCTCCAACTGGGCTTTGAGTCGTATGACCGCATTTTGACTCTCTTCATATTGTTCTTCAATGTAAGCGGAACGATCTTTTAGATTTCTTTCCGAATTCTTTATGCTAATGTTGTTGGTTCTGGAAAAAAATTAAAAATTTGATAAATAAATTTGAAAACTTTTAATGGATTTCGTAATTTTTGTTGTAATTTGGTGGTCCTTAAATTACACTGTGCTACAAAATTCAATATTTTCAATAATTACAGGAAAAACTAAGTAGATTCTGATAGTAGAGCTAAAAATAGAAAACTCGTGTATCGGCGTTTTGAAAGTTTACATCGCAAAAAAAACCTAAATAGAGGGGGCAAGTTACCCCCTCTTCTACATTTATTTGGAATTTTTGCATTAAGATTTCTTGGAATCCGTGCGTTTTAGGCATATATCGTCTTCGGCAGTATTGCAGATAAAAATACGGAGAATATTTCGGTAGAAATGTTAACTCTCATACGAGTCAACAAAACCCCCTTAGTAGAAAGTCAAAATATTATAGAAAGGTAGCAAGTCAAAATATTATAGAAAATTATTTGCCATAAAATTTAAATCTTACCTAAATGACAGGAATTCCTATTAATAAAAAACATTTAGGGTTATAGCCGTACTCCTTCTGAGCTTATGCAAAATTTTTCTACAAAACATAATTTCAGAATTATGACATAAGGGACACAAATATTTTTATAAATGTCAAGAAAATATCTACATCATTATTTTGAAAAAAAAAAAAAAAAAAACGCAAAAATATTTTATAATTTTTTTGAATAATTTTTTCTCGGAATTCTTTTGAGTCGCACCGGAAACTAACATGAAATTAAGTTTTAGGCAAAAATTGTTTTTATTAACAACTTTTTTCATTAACGACAAATTTAATATATTTTCCGAATTTGTCGCAATTTGACTTATTATTTCACTGTCCAATTCCTAGAGACTTTAATCGTACTCGATTTGTAGATCAAAATCCCAAAACAGAATCGAATTCTTGGGCCAAACTCATTTAAGGTCTTCATATAGACTTGACAATATAAAAGGGAACCCCAATATTCTGAGAAATTTTTTTCGCAGCATTTAGTATAGGTCTGTATAATATAATAGAAAGCTTTGGATTACTTCAAGAATAATTGGTTAAAAATAAAACAAAATTTTGGGAAATTAAATGAAAAATATAATACTAAAATGTAAACAATACTTGAAATCGGAATGTACCTTTATATGGAGACTATACAAAAAGGTGGACCAATATGACCCAGTTTTTAGACCAATGATGCTTGAAGTAATCCCAATTATTTTATAAATTTTCAAAGGTCTATATAAAATGATACGAAGTATATCTTAAAATATTGGGGACCATTGCTATATGATCAAGAAATTTCCCGCAATGTCGCCAGCGAAAAGTCCACCTTAACATTTTAGATTCATTCCAACAGTTTGTGTTAGAATTTTAGTACTCAAAATTCACAATTTGATCACTTTGACAATATTTCTTTAAATAAAACGTCATATATTGTTATATATTTTCAGACTTTTAAGGATTTAAATTTATTGCAGAATATAGACCCACATCTAATTGTTCTGTCCACTAATATCTCAACGTCTCCATATGTAAGCCCTAGAAACCAACAGTGACTCCAATATCGAATTACAGGATTCCAGCTCTATCCTATCACCTAATGAATGAACAGAGACCTCAATATAAAATTTAAAGATTCCAGCCTATCCCTTCATCCATTACCAAATTTAGTTGTTTTGGTACAAAAATAGGATGCATTAACCAACCAGCACCAAATTCAAAACCATTGCCAAAAATCAAACACTGTTACTATCACTAATCTAAATATCAAATTTTACAATTTTATCTCTAACCCTTCACCCAATAACAAATATAGTGCCATTCAGTACTTTTCATACAATTAAAAACACTTTACCGCAATCACTTCCATATTTCCAGGATACACATGAACAGCGACCCTAATGCCAAATTTCAGAACTCAAGTATTATTAGTTCATTGTACCAGCTATATAGCACGATTTAGTACTTTTCGTGCATTTGTAGTACACATTTCCAAAATCACCTCTTTATCACAAACCTAGCACCAACAGGAACTCCATTACAACATGTAAAAATTTTAGCTTTATCCGTTCACCCTAAACCAAACTGTTTCAAATTTAGTACTATTTAGTACAGTTCCCTCACGTAGTAAACATTTCCAAAACCACCTCCATATCTCAACACTAAGTACCAACAGTGACGTCAATATCAAATTTTGAGGATTTGAACTATATTCCTTCACCCAATACTCCATTAAGTACCACATAGTACTTATCGTACAATTAAAATACGCATATCCAAAAACTATCTTCGCATATCAAACCAAATTTCCATCCTCCATTCCCATACAAAATTTCAAGTTTTTAGTTTTATTCGTTTACATAGGATTCCACCCCTAACGATTGGCCCAAATAAAAATTGTACTTTGTTTGGTTTTAGTACATATAAGTACAATTTTCCAAAACTACCTACATATCTCAATCCTACACTTCAACAGTAATTTTATTTCGATGTTTCAGGGTACCAGCTTTATTAGTTGACCCAAAACCATATTGCATAAAATTTAGTACACTTAAGTACAAAGTTCTCAACTATTTACATCATACAGTCGAAAGGAAATCTTATTTCCAAATCTCAGGATTACAACTCTCTACCAAAATTAAAGTTGTAAAAAATTTAGTACCATTTAGTATAAATTAGTAGTTTCAAAACTACCTACATTCCTCAGTCCTAAAATGCAATAGTAATCTTATTTCTAAATTTCAGAATTCCAGCTCTGTCGCTTCACTCAAATCGAAATTGTCACAAATTTAGTACACTTAAGTACAAATTTTCCTCCTTTCCCAATCCTACACCCCCCCCCCCCCCCCCCCCCCCCCCACCAGTAGTGTTAATTTCAAATTTAAGGATTCCAGCTCCATCATTTCCTTCAAATTCAAATTGTATCAAATTTAGTACCATTTAGTACATTTAAGTACAAATTTTCAAAGCTACCTACATCAGACAGTCCAATAGAAATCATATTTTCAAAAATTTCTGAATACCAACTCTACTGGTTTTACCAAAATTCAAATTGCACCAAATTTAGAACAAACAAGTACGATTTTTTTAAAATACCTACCATTTAGTACTGTTCGTGCACATAAGTACTAATTTCGGAAACTTCCTCCACACCCCAATCCTACACTCCCCCAGTAGTGTTAATTTTAAATTTCAGGATTCCAAATCCATCCGTCATTTCAAATTCAAAATTTTACTAAATTTAGTACCGTTTAGTACTTTTCGTATACATGAGTACACACTTCCAAAATTAGCTCCTTTCATCGACTTCACCCCTAAAATTTGATTTCCATTTAAAATTTCAAGTTTTTTAGCTCTAACCGTTCATATAATACAAAATTGTACAAAATGTAGTACATTTCAGTACTTTTCGTACACTTTTGGTGCGAGTTTTCCAAAAACCCTTTGGTATACCCAACATGCACTATCAGTGAACCTCATTCCAAATATAGCTCTGTTGGTTCCTCAAATACAAAGGTTATCATATTTCGTAGCTTTTAGTACTTTTCGTAACGTTTTAATACGAATTTCCGAAAACCTAACTATATCTGACACCTTCGGACCAAGAGTGACCCTCACCCAATATTTCAAGATTCTAGTACCTTTTTAGTGCTCTTCGTGCCGTTCTAGTACGAATTTCCGAAAACCCAGCCATATCTGACACCTTCGGACCAAGAGTAATCCTCATACAAGATTTTTAGATTCTAGTATCTTTTAGTGCTCTTCGTACCGTTCTAGTACGAATTTCAAAAAACCCAGCCATACATGAAATCCTCGGAGCAGGAGTGATCCTCACCTAAAATTTAAAGATTCTTGTACCTTTTAGTGCTTTTTGTACCGTTCTAGTACGAATTTCTAAAATCCCAGCCATATCTGACACCTTCGGAGAAAGGGTGACTCTCACCCAAAATTTCAAGATTCTAGTACCTTTTTAGTGCTCTTCGTGCCGTTCTAGTACGAATTTCCGAAAACCCAGCCTTATCTGACCCCTTCGGACCAAGAGTGATCCTCACCCACACTTTCAAGATTATAGCTCCAGCCCTTTCGTCTGAATCCTTAAGTCAATCAGTCAATTACTTTACTCTTTTAATTATCTACATTAAATACTCAAATAGCCCAAATACTCACTTCAACATTTCATATTCACTTTTCAGCTCAGCGAGTTGCTCTCTCAGCTTTTGCGTTTGTTCGTTGTGGCGCAATTTGTGTTGCTTGAATTGGAACTGTTGCATGGCGACCATTTGTTCCATTTTCTTGATTTTCAACATGTACTCACGCTGCTGGGCTTCGTAGTACAATTTCAGGCGTTTTGTTTCATTTTCCCAATACGATTCTTTGTCCTAGAGAGCCAGAGAGAACAATACAGCAAGAGAGTGGGAGAGGGAGAGAGAAAAATAACAACATTAATATCATTATTCGAAATGTTTGCATTTCAAAAGTATTCTTCTAAACCTTTTGTACTTTGAAAATTACTTTCTCATTGTGTTCCATGGTTTGGCGTAGATACGACAACTCCGAATCACGATCCTTTAGGGCGGCCTCCAAATCCGATATACCCGAGTCGGAGGGCGATGGTGTCATATCGTCATTGGACAGGTGGTATTTGTTGGTGGTGCTGCTGCTGCTGCTCGAACTACTGCAACTGCTGTTGCTGGCCATGGTGTTGGTGTGGATGCCACCACTACCACCGACGCTGCTCATGGCCATGTTGAGGCCACTGCCACCACTGTCATTGGATTTTCTACAACAAAAATAAACAAACATTTATGACCAACTGAGACTGACCGATTTCTAAGCTAAGACACCAAGACAGATCAAGAGACGTGTGCTCGTCGGCAATATCACGACAGGTTTGCTGCCATTTAGGAGCGTGTCTGCCTTGCAACTGACGTCGATGCATTTTGGGACTCGCTACTTACAGGGTGCCTGTTTGACTGTTGATATCCGAGTCCGGTGTATGTCGAATAGATTCCACGCTATCGTTGATTTTCAACGATCTGGAACCGCGACGACGTGCCATCAGGCTGTTGCAATAATTATTGCTTGAATAACCACCGACAATAACTCCGCTGCCGACACTGCAGTTGCCATGGAGTCCGCCAGCTGTCATAAGAGTCATGCCACCGCCAGCACCACTACCACTGTGCCTTAAGTCGGTTGTACCTGCAAGAGGAGTAAGGGAGGAGAGAAAGAGAGGGTAAGTTTCCAAATGAAATAAGTGTTAATCCAAAAAATATAACCACAACAAATAATAAAACCGAATTAGCAAAACTGCAATGGTAATTAACTTGGCTTATGGCCCAATGCTTGTTTTTCTTTTTTCGAGCGATTTGCAATGATATTTGTTTTGTGTGTGTTTCTGATTTCAAGGAGTCTTATTGCCAGTAGTACACTATTCTACAGAGACTTGTATTAAATGCAGGGTGAGATGAAAAAACTGCAACCAACTTCAGACTGCTGTCATTTCAGAGTCACTCACAGTTAAAATTATTCCAGTGAAAAATTTTGACCCTTTGTGGGGGAGGTACTTGAAGTAGTGGGCCGATATTATCCATTTTTGCACCTGATCTAGAACTGACGCAAATATTAGGATTTGAAAAGTTGGAGAAAAATTGGACTATTGCTTCCCTTTCTGTGCAGACAGTATTTTTTTTTTTTTTTGGAAATTTCGACCTTTTGTGGGGGAGGTACCAGAAGGAGTGGACCGATGTTGACCATCTCCGAACTCGATCTAAGTTTGACAAAAATATTACGATGTACCAAGTTTGGACCAAATCGCATACTCCCTTCGAGAGTTATCGTGGGCACCAGCCATACAGACGGAGGAACGGACGGACGGACATCGCTAGATCGACTCCAAATGTCCAGAAACAGATTTGGTCCTTCCCTCTGTAGCCATATGGTTGAGGGTATTACAAGTTATTCGTGATGGAATTCAAGCGTGATAATGGAACTTCTTTATATTTGGCTGGAAAACCACAAGTGGCTATCGTAAGAACACTCCAGCATTCTAATGTGAATAAATCTTCTGTGTCTCGTACCATCGTTCGTTACCGTGATACTAGTAGCGTAGCCCGACGTCAAGAAAGTTGTCCGATGGAGAAAACAGCAATATCCGCAGAAATGGTTCGAAAAGTAAAGAAGCAACTTGATCGAAACTCGCTTCGCAGTGGCCGAAAAATTGCTCGTGGGCTGAACATATCGCAACTTTCCATTCAGCAAATATTAAAAAATGAGCTCGGGCTAAATCCATTGAAATTCCAAAAAGTGCAAGAACTTACACCGCAACAGAAAGAAAATAGACTCAAAAGAGCTAAAGAGTTGCTTCGCTTGGCCGAAAGTGGTGAACTGCCGAATTTGGTTTTCTCCGGTCCGATGAGAAAACATTCGTTGTCCAGCAGTTTGTAAACAAACAAAGTGATCGTGTTTACTTGCCAAAGAGGTCAGCTGAAAATGTGCACCTTCCGTTGGCCACCAGAACTCAAGCGCCAGCCAGGGTGATGGTGTGGGCCGCCACAACAGCCGATGGTCGCTCTCCACTCGCATTAATCGACCGTGGCATCTGAATAAATACCGAATATTATCGCGAAAATATTCTGGAGGGTGTATTAAAGCCTTGAACACGCAAACATTATGGCCACAGACCTTGGACATTCCAACAGGACTCAACACCATCGCACAAAATGAGGTTCCTTGTTTGATTTCCAGCGCACAATGGCCCCCAAAATCTTCGGACACCAATCCGTTAGACTATTGTTTGTGGAGTATTTTGGAAAGCAATGTTGGCACTAAAAAATACCAAAGAGTCGATCACCTTAAATAAGCGCTTCGCCGGGAATGGGCCAAAATACCGCATAGAAACATTCGGGCAGCGTGTGATGGTTTCATTGGCCATTTGAAGGCCATAATTCGTGCCAAAGATGACCAATTCGAACAAATCTAAACTTATTCTAAAATTGGATGCTATTTCCGACTTTTTTTCTTTCATTTAAAAAAATTAAAAAAAAAAAAATTAAAATTATGGCGTTTGACTTTGTTGCAGTTTTTTATCTCACCCTAAATATAAAGAGTAGTGAAATAGTTGACTGACTGAGAATCAAGGCACAGGCGAAACGGCTGAAACTATAATTTTCGAATATTGCATGTACGTCAATATTGGTGTGTGGGAGTAAGTGAGATAAAAGGCTGGAAATTCGTACTGTAAGTGTACTAAAAACAAGTTAAAAAGCAGTAAGTTCGAACGGACCGAACTTTGAATACCCACCACTATTTGGAACGAATTTGGACATTTTAAAAAAATGAAATCCGTTAAAAATTCTGTTAAAATCTTAAAAATACCGAATACAGCCGTTATATCGGAGCTATACGAAGACCTGGACTTGCATAGACAATTTTCTGTCACAGGCTGTAGCTTCCATTACGAACTTCAAACACGACATCTCAAACAATTTCGGTAAGTATAGTACCTAAAATCGTCAAAATACCGAATATAGGGAGGTGCTGATATATATGGGGCTTATACGAAGAAGAAGGCTGTAGTATCCATTTCGAACTTCAAATATCAAATTTGAAAAAATTCCGGTGAATATTGTCGCTAAAATCATCAAAATACCGAATGTCGGGAGGTACCGTTATATGGGGGCTATACAAAGACGTGGACCTGCACAGACAATTTTCTGTCTTAGGCTGTAGTATCCATTTTGAACTTCAAATACCAAATTAGAAACAATTCCGGTAAATAATATCGCTAAAATCTTAAAAATACCGAATGTCGGGAGTTTTCGTTATATGGGGGCTATATGAAAACGTGGACCTATATGGACGATTTACGAACTTAACCTGCCTACTGGCAAAATAAACATGTGTGCAAAATTTTAGCCTTCTATCTCAATTCGTTCGAAAGATAGCGTGATTACAACAGACAGGCTGAAAGGCTTACAGACAGACAGACAGACGGACAGACAGACGAACATCGCTAAATCGACTTAGAATTTTACGCTGTTCAAGAATATATGTACTTTGTTGGGTCTGACATGAGTATTTCGAGGAGTTACAAACGGAATGACAAAGTTAATATACCCTTCGTAGTATGGTGGAGGGTATAATAAAATCGATTGGATAGGTCTAACGGATAAAGCTAGAATGAAATTTGTACCGAAGGTCTCTGATGGGGTGTAAAATAGATATACCGAATATTATTGAGAGAATTCGAAATATCTAATTGCTGTCATTTTGGATGTAAATGGGGACGGAACCTTGAAAATACCCTAAATCTGAAGGCTATACATAAATGTGGACCGATGTAACCCAATACTAAACGGCTTAGGGACACAACAAACATCTATGCCAGATTTCATTCTTGTATTCTGAAATCATTTTTTTTTCGAATAACAGACGGACAAAGGAGGCGAAAATCCTGAAATCGACTTAGAATTTTATGATGATCACGAATATACCTAGATACTTTGTGGACTCTCCGACGAATAAATCAAAATGCTTCCAAACGGAATGATACGGTTAAAATACCTCAATCTTTTTGGTGGGTATCAGATACTCCGACGTTTTACGACTGTCTTTTCAATTTATGGATGTGCCAAGTATAGAATTGAATATTCAAGAATATCAAAACATTTAGTGGATATTTCTGACATTTATTTTTTCTGGACAAAAAAAATCGATGTTCCCACCAAAAAATGTGTCCAGGCCTTTTAAGAACATATTGACAAATTTACGCGCTCCATTTCATCTAGAAAATTGTAATAATAATCGAATTAAATCAAAAACTCAATACTTACTTCCAAATCTCATGTTAGAACCCTGGACGGCCGCCAATGATGGCGTTGAACCATAACGATCGCCCACAACCATATTGTGATGGTGGTTGTGGTGGTGGGAATTTGTTGTTGAATTGGTGATGTGATTGTTGCTGCCACTGATGTTGTTGTTGTTATTATTCATCGCTGTTGTTGTTGAACCACAACTGGGGTTGTTACTATTAGCCGATGCCGTTGCTGACTGAGCAGACGCAACAACGTCACAATAACGACTGGGAATGGTATAGTCCGGCTCGAAAGGGATCGGCTTGAAGGCAATCGGCCGTAAAAGATTTGTAGTCTAAACAAACGCAAAAAAGAGAACAAAAATGGAATAAACAAAAACAAAAAAAAAAAAAAAAAAAACAAAAAAAAAACAAAAAAACACACAAAGTCAAACAAATCAATGATAAAAGAAATTGAAGGGGAGAAACCAGAAATATTGATAAAATATTGAAGGTAATTATAAAAGAATGTGTGGACATAAAAATATACGGGAAAAGGGTGGTGTCAGAGGAAAGATGAGATTTTCTACGTGTTTACAAAGATCGTGCCTATAAGATGATTAAAAAAAGGGGGATACAATTTATTGTAATTTCATAATTAATATTATAATATTTATCACTCCCTTTGATGTACCCTATTCCAGACATTGAATTTAAAAAAACACATTTCAAAGTCATAAAAAATGCTGTGATTAATAAAAATATTTATCTCCTAAATATTGACAGTTAAGAGCAAAAAAAAGCGTTTCATTTGTGAGCAAAGTGCAACCCAACTCTAATGACACACCCATGAAATATTCCGGACAGGCCAAACGACAAGCGGATACAAGCGGACAAGTGTCTAGGGCAAGAGATATTATTCAAATGCGGTTGTAGTTGTTCTATTTGAAAGAAATACCCAGATGAATTGACTACATACATGGAGTCTTGCATATGGAATTTATTAAAAATAAATTTTAGTTTATAAAACAAATTTAAATATCCTCGGAGGTTCTGATAGAGGAAGCTGTAAAGAACCTTTTTATACCCTTCACCTTGGAAAGGAGGGTATATTAACTTTGTCATTCCGTTTGTAACATCCCTAAATATTCGTCGTAGACCCCATGTATATATATTCATAAATTCATAAAATTCTAAGTCGATTTAACGACGTCCGTCTGACTGTCTGTCCGTCTGTCTCTCTGTATAAATCACGATATAGGCCACATTATTTGACGTAGAGCGTCAAAATTTAGCAGAATAATTTGTATTGCGTCTAGGATGGTTGGTATTGAAAATGAGATATATCGGTCCACGTTTTGGTATAATCCGCATATAACGGTAACTCCCGATATTCGGTATTTTGGTGATTTTTGCCACACTTTTTCACGGATTTGTCTGAAAATTGTATTTGTAGGTCATAATGGGTCCTAGTTTTTGTGGCGAAATATTGTATGTATGGCTCCACGCTTTGGTATAGCCCCCATATAACGGTACCTCCCGATTTTTGGTATTTTGATGATTTTTGCCCCAATTTTTCACGGATTTGTCTCAAAATTGGTATTTGTAGGTCATAATGGGTCCTAGTTCCTGTGGCGAAACATTGCATGTATAGGTTCACGTTTTGGTACAGCCCCCATATAACGGTACCTCCCGATATTCGGTATTTTGATGATTTTTGCCACATTTTCCACGAATATGTCTAAAATTTGGTATTAGTGGGTCATAATTAGTTCTAATGTTAGTACTACCCTAAGGTGGAGGGTATTAAAAATTCGGCCCGGCCGAACTTAATGTTTTTTACTTGTTCTCTATATAAGAACGTTTCATGGTTCTTTTGTTTTATTGGGGAAACTTTCAAAGCTCTTCTATTCGAGAGAAGACCTTTTCAAAGCACTTCTTTTCTATCGAACACCCCAAAGGTTTCTTCTATTGCATCGAAGGCCGAAAAGTAGTCTTCTATTCTGTAGAAGATTCCTGAGAGCTCTTCTATTGTAGAGAAGATCCCTGAGGGCACTTCTATTCTATAGAAGACCCCTGTGGGATCTTCTATTCTATAGAAGACCCCTGTGTGCTCTTCTATTCTATAGAAGACCCCTGTGTGCTCTTCTATTCTATAGAAGACCCCTGTGAGCCCTTCTATTCTATAGAAGACCCCTGTGAGCCCTTCTATTCTATAGAAGACCCCTGTGAGCCCTTCTATTCTATAGAAGACCCCTGTGGGCTCTTCGATTTTATAGAAGACCCCTGTGGGCTCTTCGATTCTATAAAAGACCTCTGTGTTCACTTCGATTTTATAGAAGACACCTGAGGGCTCTTCTATTCTATGGAAGACACCTGAGGGATCTTCTGTTCTATGGAAGACACCTGAGGGCTCTTCTATTCAATAGAAGACCCCTGTGTGCTCTTCTATTCTATAGAAGACCCCTGTGAGCCCTTCTATTCTATAGAAGACCCCTGTGTGCTCTTCTATTCTATAGAAGACCCCTGAGGGCTCTTCTATTCTATAGAAGAAACCTGAGGGCTCTTCTATTCTATAGAAGAAACCTGAGGGCTCTTCTATTCTATAGAAGACCCCTGAGGGCTATTCTATTCTGTAGAAGAAACCTGAGGACTCTTCTATTTTGTTGAAAACCCCTGAGGGCTCTTTTATTCTATAGAAGACCCTGAGGGCTCTTTTATTCTATAGAAGACCCTGAGGGCTCTTCTATTCTATAGAAGACCCCTGAGGGTTCTTCTATTCTGTGGAGGACCCCTGAGGGCTCTTCTATTCTATAGAAGACCCCTAAGGGCTCTTCTATTCTATAGAAGACCCCTAAGGGCTCTTCTACTCTATAGAAGACCCCTAAGGGCCCTTCCATTCTATCGAAGACCCCTATGGGCTCTTCCATTCTATCAAACACCCCTAAGGGCTCTTCTATTCTATCGAAGACCCCTAAGGGCTCTTCTTTCTATCGAAGACCCCTAAGGGCTCTTCTATTCTATCGAAGACCCCTAAGGGCTCTTCTATTCTATCGCAGACCCCTAAGGGCTCTTCTATTCTACCGAAGACCCCTGAGGGCTCTTCTATTCTACCGAAGACCCCTGAGGGCTCTTCTATTCTATCGAGGACCCTTTCAAGGCACTTCTATTCTAGAGAAGACCCTTTCAAAGCACTGCTCTACAAAAGTCCCTTGCAACCTAACCTCTTGTATAATGCAACCTAACGTCGGTTCTCCCGTAATGCAATATCCATACGAACCTGTTGCTCATGATTTTCGTCAATGGTCTGAATGTGAGACAAATCACTTGCACTCCGTTGTGGTTGTGGTTGCTGCTGTTGTTGATGTTGATGCATTGCATGTTGTTGTTGTTGCTGCTGGGTATTATGAACCAAGGCTGTATGGGTTTGGGTACGCTGAGCTTGTAATATTTGTCGCTGTTGTTGTTGGTGGTGTTGTTGCTGCCGCTGTTGTTCTTGTTGTTGTAGTTTATTGTTCGATGTCGCTACATCCAATTGTTGTTCATTAATATTTAAACGCTCACTGACTTCCGTAATACTGCTGCGACTACCAACCATTCCGCCGAATCCGTTTTCTGGTTTTCCCGCCTGTGCCGGGCCAGCATTGGGTGTGGGTATTGGAGGTTTCCGTGTCACCGGCGAACGTTTGGGCATTGTCATCATTGGTGAGTATTTTTGATTCAATGATGCGGATAAATTGGTGGTGGATGAGGAGGTGGAGGTGCAGCTTGTCATCGATGTCAGTGATGTTGTCATCATTGGTGGCAAGGATTGCATAGATTGTGGTTCATTGTTGGTGTTGGCATCGTCCCCGCCCTTACTACCTTTGGTTAGTTCAAACATTTGCCGAATGTTATTGAATTTGTTGCGACCCTGTTGCACAAAGTCGTCCAGGTTGCTGTGACTGCCGAATTTGTTGCGCATGCGTTTTTGTTCATTGCGCGACTTAAGGGTCCCGGTGTGACTGTGTGATGGCACCATGGGTAGGCCAAGGGTGTTTTTTGATACCAAAGCATTGGCATTCTCCAGCGAGGCGGAACGTATGTGACCACGTTTGTTGTTGTTATTGTTGTTGCCATTCATTAACGTGGGCGATCCTTGCTGCAGTGAAGAGGGTCCCGATTTTGTTGGCGGTGTATGTGTGTGTAGTTTATTGCTACTGCTAAGGGGACCAAGTGTGGTCGCCATTTTTGTGAGGTTGTCTGAAACGAAATCCGCAGTGATAATCTGTAATTAAAAGGGGAGGGAAGGTGTGTTGTTATTTTTGTAATAAAATTTAGAAAATTAATTAATTTGGAGACAGAGGGAAAATGTGTTATTGATCTTTTGTTTATTAAAGTCCCTAGAGAGTCGTCGGTCAATAGAAAATCTGAAAAAAATCTGACTGACAACATAAGTGCAGAGGGTTTTCGGAGAGTTTTACAAAAGGCCTTTTCTACTCTACAGAAGACCCCTGAGGGCTCCTCTACTCTACAAAAGACCCTTCTTCTATTCTATAGAAGACCCCGGAGGCCTCTTCTATTCTATAGAAGACCCCGGAGGCCTCTTCTATTCTATAGAAGACCCCGGAGGCCTCTTCTATTATATAGAAGACCCCGGAGGCCTCTTCTATTCTATAGAAGACCCCGGAGGCCTCTTCTATTCTATAGAAGACCCCGGAGGCCTCTTCTATTCTATAGAAGACCCCGGAGGCCTCTTCTATTCTATAGAAGACCCCGGAGGCCTCTTCTATTCTATAGAAGACCCCGGAGGCCTCTTCTATTCTATAGAAGACCCCTGAGAGCTCTTCTATTCTATAGAAGACCCCTGAGAGCTCTTCTATTCTATAGAAGACCCCTGAGGGCTCTTCTATTCTATAGAAGACCCCTGAGGGTTCTTCTATTCTATAGAAGACCCCTGAGGGCTCTTCTACTCTATAGAAGACCCCTGAGGGCTCTTCTACTCTATAGAAGACCCCTGAGGGCTCTTCTACTCTATAGAAGACCCCTGAGGGCTCTTCTACTCTATAGAAGACCCCTGAGGGCTCTTCTACTCTATAGAAGACCCCTGAGGGCTCTTCTATTCTATAGAAGACCCCTGAGGGCTCTTCTATTCTATAGAAGACCCCTGAGGGCTCTTCTATTCTATAGAAGACCCCTGAGGGCTCTTCTATTCTATAGAAGACCCCTGAGGGCTCTTCTATTCTATAGAAGACCCCTGAGGGCTCTTCTATTCTATAGAAGACCCCTGAGGGCTCTTCTATTCTATAGAAGACCCCTGAGGGCTCTTCTATTCTATAGAAGACCCCAGAGGGCTCTTCTATTCTATAGAAGACCCCAGAGGGCTCTTCTATTCTATAGAAGACCCCAGAGGGCTCTTCTATTCTATAGAAGACCCCTGAGGGCTCTTCTATTCTATAGAAGACCCCTGAGGGCTCTTCTATTCTATAGAAGACCCCTGAGGGCTCTTCTATTCTATAGAAGACCCCTGAGGGCTCTTCTATTCTATAGAAGACCCCTGAGGGCTCTTCTACTCTATTGAGGACCCCTGAGGGCTCTTCTACTCTATTGAGGACCCCTGAGGGCTCTTCTACTCTATTGAGGACCCCTGAGGGCTCTTCTACTCTATTGAGGACCCCTGAGGGCTCTTCTACTCTATAGAAGACCCCTGAGGGCTCTTCTACTCTATAGAAGACCCCAGGGGGTTTTCTACTCTATAGAAGACCTGAGGGCTCTGCTACTCTATAGAAGACCCCTGAGGGCTCTCCTGCTCTATGGAAAACCCCTGAGGGCTCTTCTATTCTATAGAAGGCCCCTGAGGGCTCTTCTACTCCATAGAAGACCCCTGAGGGATTTTCTACTCCATAGAAGACCCCTGAGGGCTCTTCTACTCCATAGAAGACCACTGAGGGCTCTTCTACTCCATAGAAGACCCCTGAGGTATTTCTACTCCATAGAAGACCCCTGAGGACATTTCTACTCTATAGAAGACCCCTGAGGACTCTTTTACTCTATAGAAGATCCCTGAGAGTGATGAGGCACGTTTTAGCGGTATCGAATGATATATAACCTCTCTACCCATATCGTTGAGGGTATAAAAATCTATGTACGCCTTATAAACCCAATGCCCTAAGTACCCTTCAAGTATGACGTGCCATATCGAATTGACAAAGCTTGCCGACCTCGCCTTCTTTGGCTAATGTTATTTCGATCCAGAACAAAAGCGTAATTTCCATAGAGATAATATCACCAAGAAGTTGGCTAATCTTGGTCTGACGTTCACAACAAAGCACAGGCAACAACAAAAGAACAAAATCGAAATCAACATGGCATGACAATCTGAAGAGAAGAAAACAATGAATTTAGAGATGCCATGATGATGAGTCGAAGAAATTTTGTTGCTTTCATCAAGAATCGTTCTATGTAGATCTTCACGGCCAGTCATGGAGAGTTCAAATTGGGTCTCTGGCTGTGGTTGTTGTTCGTTTGAGATGACGAGAACTCTTATGGCATCACGTTTGAAAAATCTGATTCGCATTACATTTGAAATGGTGGGGGCACAGGCGCGCTTGGATGGTAATCTAAGGTTTTGTGTGTCTAGCTCGCTGGCTGGCTACCTGTCTGAATGCTGGATAAATTGAGGGAATGTCTCCGTGCAAATAGCGTGTGCCACAAGCACATTAACCTAATTTTTTTTTCTGTTAACAAAAAGATTTTTATAGTTTGGTTTCAAATGTCTATTCTTTTGTGTCAGCCAGCCAGCCTCTTTTTTATATTTTATTATGACGGATTTTTTATGGTATGAATATTCCATTTTTTGTTGTATTTGCTTTTCTTTGTTGGAGGTTCTCATTTCAAATTAATGTTTTACCTGTGCAAAATTATTGCAATTTTTTACATTTGTTGCGGTTGGTAAGATTCTAGCTGAATAAGAGGCGGATTAGAGATTTCATGGTGGTCGGATAAAAGTGGTGAAAAACGTCATAAGGCAGGTTGTGAAGAACAGTTGAGGGAAGTGAAAATAATCTAATACCCAGTAAAAAATAGATGTCGTATGAGCCTAATAACCCTTTTAAAGGTATGGATTATTAGACTCATACCGGTCTGAACAGGTCTCTATAAAATTTAGCAGAACTACCAAATTTAGATACATTTAGTACACATATCCAAAAACAGTCTACTTCTCTCCATCCATAACTATTTGTCCGCATTTGCAAAACCACCACCAGATTTCAACAATAGATACCAAAAGAGACTTCAATATCAAATTTGAGGACTCCAGTTTGAGATGATGAGAACTCAATTCCAAATTTGGTAACATTTTGTACTTTCCGTATAATTTGAGTACATAATAACAGTTCTCGCAATATAAAATTTTACGGTTTCAGGGATATACCTTCCATCCAATACCAAATTTAGTAGCTTTTCGTACTTTTCGAACGAATATAGCACGCATTTTCAAATCCAGTTCCAAATCTTAGCCTCAGACACCAAAATATCAAATTTCAGAATTTTATCTCTATTGCTTCACCCAATACCTCATTTAATAGCACTTCGAACAGTACGAACAATACAATAGCAATATATCCAAAACCACCTCTAAATCTTAGTGCCAGAAACCAACAGAGACCTCAATATCAAACTTCGGGATTCCAGCAATTTAGTACCATTTAGTACTTTTCCAATAATTATAGTACAAATTTCCAAAAGCAACTCCATATCTTAACGACAGACACGAACAGTGAAATCTATATCACATTTCGGGATATCACCTCTATACATCCAATCAATACCAAATTTTCCTAACATTTAGTACTTTTCGTATAATTTTAGTACACATTTCCAAACCAATTCCAGATAGAAACAGAGACCACAATATTGGATTTGAAGATTCCAGACCTATCCTTGCGCCCAATACCAAATTTAGTACTTTTCGTACAAATATAGGATGCATTTTCAAACCGCCGTCAAATTTCAAACACAGATACCATCAATAATCCATGTACCAAATTTTCGAATTGTATCTCTATCTTTTCATCCAATACCAAATTTAGTACAAGGCAGCTTTGGAAATTGTACTATAATTGTACGAAAAGAATTATAGTACACATTTCCAAAGCCGCCTCCATATCTCAATTTCAAATAGCAACAGAGACCTCAACATAAAATTTGAGGATTCCAGCCCTAGCCCTTCACCCAATACCAAATTTAGTACTATTTAGTACTTTTCGTACAAATACAGGACACAGTTCCAAACCACATCCACCATACATCCACTTAATACTAAATTTAGTAACATTTGGTACATTTCGTATAATTTTAGTACAAATCCCTAAAATCACCTCGAAATCTCAATACCACATAACAACAGAGACCTCAATATCAAATTTGAGGATTCTAACCTTAACCCAATACCTAATTTAGTGCTACTTAGTACTTTTCGTACAAATATAGGACGTCTTTCCAAAACACCGCTAAATCTCAAACACATATACCATCGGTAATATAAACATCAAATCTCGGAATTTTATCTTTATCCTTTCATCCAATACCAAATTTAGTACCATTCAGTACTTTCGGTAAAATTAGAGCACATATTTCCGAAACCACCTCCATACGTCTGGGCTACACTAATACCAAATTTCAGATTTTTAGCGCAATCACATTTTTCCAAATATAGTACTATTTAGTACTTTTCGTACAATTAAAATACACTTTTTTAAAACCACCTCCATATCTCAATCTCAGATACCAACAGATACTTCAGTACTAAGTTTCAGGATTTAAGTTCTACTCCTTCCCCCAATAACAAATTTAGTACTGTTTAATACTTCACCTACAATTACAAATTCTAAAACCTACCACCAACAGGGACCGGAATACAAATTTTCAAAATGCCTACTTTATTCGTTCACTCTAAGCCAAACTGTTCCAAATTTAGTACCATTTAGTACAGTTCATATGCTATGTACACATTTCCGAAACCATTTTCAAACTTTCTTTCCAACCTTGATTCCCATACCACATTTCAAATTTTTGCCTACATCGGTTTACATATAGTACCAAATGGTACCATTTTAAACTGAATATAGTACAATTTTAGAACTTTTCGTAACCCTAAAAGTTCGAATTTCTAACAACTCTTTGGTACATCTATCCTGCACTCCGTCAGTGACTCTCATTCCAAATTTAATTCAAAATTCCGTTTGTCTAATATAAAATATTTAATTTTTAGTAAATTTTAGTACT